TCAGCAGCAGTTTGAATGTTCACAGATACAAAACTTTTCATATTTCTCTCTTGAAGCAGTTCTATATGCCTGTTCTTGACCTCCGAATAACAGACTTGTTTCTCTTGGTATGTCTAGGTATGTTTGTTTCTTTCTTTGATGGATGCTAACTGTCATAAACTTTATCTCTGTGTCTTTTTTTGAACTTGGCATTAATTTATGAAGTTGTGATGTGGACTGAAGCACCTGCTTGTTAGCAGTCAAGTTATGAGCTGCGAATGCTGTCTGTAAAAGAAAAAGCTACTGTTTTTGAGTTCCATTCTTATGATGCTCTTATTGTTGAGTGCAGGTCTTGTTTTTGTCTGTTTATTTACATGTCTTGTACTTTCTACCATAATCCAATCATCTTCAAAATTTATGTCTAGTTCTGTATGTTTTTTCTCATTTTCTTGCTTTTCTGTTTGGTCAGGATTCTAGGAGAAACTCTGTTAAAGAAGCTGAAAATAAAACTATTGGTATGGTTGCCCTGCTTAATCAACTTATAAATGACCTGGACTTTGCAGTGTTGCTTTGATAGTTCTTTACCCTGTATAAAGATGTTGACTGGAGCTCACTTCTATTTACTAGCTTATTTATTTGTTTGTTTTTGTGTGTTGGGGGGGGTTGGGGGTTGAAAATTGGCAGGCTTGACTGTGCCTACTGATGTGCCGAAACCACGTGGCCACCTTCCCATTTGCTACATAGGCTTCAAGCTTAACCTCCTCCGTGGAAACAAGGAGCGGAGGTTGGAGGTTGATCAAACTTTTGCTGTTTCCTTTGATTGTCATTGCTTGGGCTCAAGGAGTTTTAGGTTGCATAAACGGAGTGTTCGGGTTGACGCAGCTTCCATGTATTAGCTTGATAGTCGGGCATGGTTGGTAGGCAAGGAGGGGCTCACACGATCATGCTCAATATCCTCCTCAATATCCTCCCAACCAAATGGAGGCAGGCTTGCGGAATCTGTAACATGGTGGTTTACCAAGTGGATTTTTTAATGAGAGCTCATGCTGTCTAAATGCAGAGAGCTTCACGAGTTGTCTTATGCTATTGGGTCTAGGATGTCCACTGTTTTTTCACAAAAAAGGTGGACATAGGTGAGGAGATCCTTGTCAGCATTATGAGTCTCGCGCATTAAGTGGAGGGTAGTGAAGTGCCCTTTCACATTGAAAAACTTGGCATAGAACTTCACCAAATTGATCAAATTCTATTTTAGTATCATTATATTTTCATATGTATCCTTACATTGTATAAAGTATGGTTATGAATATAGGACATATTTATGACACATTAAGGATCATCAATTCAGTAAATTCTAAATATAAAGTAGAGTACTACTTTAATTTCTTTATTTTTTAATTTCTAAGAAGTAAGCAAAGTATTGAAAAATTATTCTTGTATTTATCCTAGCAATTATACTCTAATGCTATGCAAGAATTATTACTATTTCAATTTCATAATAGTTTAGATACTTCATTTAAGAGTATTTGAAAAGTATTCAATACTTCTCAAAATTAAAAAATTTAATTTCAAATTATGGATACATGTAGGAAGTATCAGATACGTAAGTATTTACATTTTGGACTTTAGTTTCACAATAAAGATCCTTAAAATCAATTTTGTCTAGAGAAGTCTAGCCACTTTTCTCTATAAATCTTGGAACTAAAGACTTTTACATTGAGCTAATTCCAACCCTTTTTTCACCTAGAAAACCTTAAAAACTTTACTCATACCTTTTTGCCTAAACCACTGCAAAATCAACAATGATTGTTTTACTGGTTTTATTAATCGGCTTTTAACTTTTTTATGGTTATTTTTACAATTAACATTCATTTTTTTAATTTTTTATTTATGGGCAGTGGGTTATTTTGTTCCTCCCACTCTAATATTTTTTAATATTAGTGCATTTAAGTCAAATCACACTTTAAACAATTAAACTACCAATTGTGTTTACGAAACCCTCTACCATTAATTCCCAAGTATTAGAGATCTATGTAACAGCAACCATAAGCAGACTCCATTAGTATAAAGTGCCGAACCTCCAAAACTTGACTTTTACTGTTGAGGCCTTTCTATCAGTTGCAGAGTTGAACATCACAAGTGTTGTGCGTTCTTATATCCATATTTATGGAACACTTAAACTTTCACAGCATTCAGTTTTGTGGTGAGGCTCTTCTTATTCTGGTCCATATCATAGTGGCACAGATACAAAACTTTTCATATTTCTCTCTTGAAGCAGTTCTATATGCCTGTTCTTGACCTCCGAATAACAGACTTGTTTCTCTTGGTATGTCTAGGTATGTTTGTTTCTTTCTTTGATGGATGCTAACTGTCATAAACTTTATCTCTGTGTCTTTTTTTGAACTTGGCATTAATTTATGAAGTTGTGATGTGGACTGAAGCACCTGCTTGTTAGCAGTCAAGTTATGAGCTGCGAATGCTGTCTGTAAAAGAAAAAGCTACTGTTTTTGAGTTCCATTCTTATGATGCTCTTATTGTTGAGTGCAGGTCTTGTTTTTGTCTGTTTATTTACATGTCTTGTACTTTCTACCATAATCCAATCATCTTCAAAATTTATGTCTAGTTCTGTATGTTTTTTCTCATTTTCTTGCTTTTCTGTTTGGTCAGGATTCTAGGAGAAACTCTGTTAAAGAAGCTGAAAATAAAACTATTGGTATGGTTGCCCTGCTTAATCAACTTATAAATGACCTGGACTTTGCAGTGTTGCTTTGATAGTTCTTTACCCTGTATAAAGATGTTGACTGGAGCTCACTTCTATTTACTAGCTTATTTATTTGTTTGTTTTTGTGTGTTGGGGGGGGTTGGGGGTTGAAAATTGGCAGGCTTGACTGTGCCTACTGATGTGCCGAAACCACGTCCCAAAGCAAATGTACGTATTTATTAGAGTGATTGGTTTAGTCATCATGCTATTTATTTTTTGGTCAATGCATGGGCGTCATAGATCATGATCTATTTTAAAATCTGTTTCAGAGCACTGGAATTGGTGTTACGGTTGAAGTCACTGAATATATGAAAGGTATCATTGATGAGAGTGAAAAATCGTGTGAAGTGAAATTTGGGAGCTATTGTATATGGCGTCAAGAACACAAGGAAAAAATGAAAGACGATATGGTGAAGAAATTGAAGGATCAACTTTATGTTGCCCGAGCTTACTATCCTAGTATTGCAAAGCTTCCAGCACAGGACAAATTGTCCCATGAAATGAAGCAAAATATTCAAGAGTTTGAGCGAGTTCTCAGTGAAACTACCACAGATGCAGATCTCCCACAGCAGTAAGTGACTACTTCTTTATGAAATACCCAATATTCTATCCATTGGTCTAAGCTATTAAATACTAAACTCTTGTTTGGCAGTGAGGTGACTGCTATTTGCCTGTAGGTCCACCTGCTAGGTATCATATGAATTGTGCATGCTTGCAAAATATAGAAGTTTCTCTCAAGATGCATATCATGAATTTTCTCATTACTTGAACTTGATCTCTGTACTTCAAGCCTACACTAATGGTCTTTTTATAATTTTTATTTAAATTATATTACTATGAACAAATTCTGATTTCTGTCCTTTTATACATACTCTGTTGTATTATGATTTTTTGCACTGCCTTTTCTGGATTAAATTTTTTTTTTACTTTTTTTTGGCATTTGGATTTCCTGTACATACATAACATGACCCATGAACAAATTCTTTTGAACTTGAATCCATTCTGTTGTGTTTGAGTAACTGTGTTGGTTGTCAAGAAGGGCTGCTAAATTTGGGCTTAGGCTAGATAGGGCTTATAGTAAATATGTTGACTTGAAGTTGAACTAATCTCAATATAGCATTGTGTGCATGTGTAGTGGTCGGTAACTGATTCTTAAGCATGTTAATTGATCTTGACTTGACTCACCTAAGCCATATACCAACCAACCATTTAGGATCATTTTTGGTGCTCATTCTATCTTGGGCCAATCTTTTGTTTGTTAATTTATTTGTCATTACATCAAATTATAGCATACCTATCTTTTGAATTTCAACCTTTTTCCGATGTTTCCTTTTGCTTTTTCTTTCTCATTGTAGTCAACTTAACTTGGGATCATTTAATTCTTGGGGGACGCAAGTCCTAATAGGTGGACTTATTGTCCAATATGTCCTGTGAGAATTAATATGTTTTTCATCAAACACTATTAAAAAACGTCAGTAATTGTTAATTTTCAGCAGCAGTTTGAATGTTGTCACAAAAAATGTCACTAATTATAAGTTTTAGCAACAATTTAAAAAAATCGTCACTAAGAAAGGTTACTAATTTTCAACTTTCAGTAACAGTTTGAAAAATTCTTCACAGAAAATTGTCACTGATTGTAAGTTTTAGCGACATATGCAAAAGATTGTCATCAAAAAATACTTTTAGTAACGATTTTGCTAGGATTTATTATCAATAGGAATTTATGGGAATTAAGTTAAACTATTAGAACCTATTAGTAGTTTATCCTTAATTTCTATGGTACGGTAAACCCTCATAGATCATCAAACTATCTAACTTGACTTCACTCCATTCAACTTGACAAGTCTTAGTCTCTCAACAACTACTTGTGCTTGAGTATTTTTTTTCTTTTCTTTTTTTACCGAAGGCAGGTAGTTCTCAAACAAAATTTCCTAACCTGAGTAGTTTTTAAACAACATGCAATTTCACTAAAACATAAAATTGCAAGTTCAACCACTTGGTGGAATCAATTAATTTCACCAAGACATATATAGGCAAATGTATCTAGATTTCTTATGTGGCGGATCTCCCTTTCCAGATCACCCCTCCAAATCGTCCTGTTTGGATCTCCTTTTTTAGATCACTCCCTCTGGATCTCCCTTTTCGGATTGCTCCCTCTAGATTGCCCTCTCGGGATTGCTTGCCACCTCACCTAGGTATTGTGCATCCCAACTACTTGGCAACCACTTAGCTTCGTCTCTAGCCGTTAAGGCTTCACTCGACTTCAACTTGCACCCTGGCAACATGCTTGTTTTTTTGACTTGTTTCCCAAACACTACAAAATCATAATGGAGTTGGCCTGCTAGCATTGTTACTATTCATTATTGTTAATGGCATAACCATTTTGTCTGACTTCGATTGTCCAGCTGCAATAACTGACACCTGCCAAAGAAGTCATGGTTGTGGCAACAGGCCATCACTATAATAATATGGATATTATATAGTTCTTGATGAACTATGTTTGATCTTAAATTTATCATTAGCTGAGAATTTAGGGTAGTTGGAAGACATCCTTGCAAGGAATTTCATACCCCATCCATGTCGTGAATTGACATGTCTTATGTATAAAAAGCTTTTTGACCTTTAACATTATATTGATTCTGTTTTTGCCAAGATTCATGATAAGTTGGCCCAACTTTTCGTCATCTGTAGAATACTGAGCGTGATTTTGTCTATTACATCAGGATTGAAAAGAAACTACAGAAGATGGAAGCTGTAATAGCCCGAGCAAAGTCAGTTACTGTGGATTGTAATAATGTTGACAAGAAATTGAGGCAATTAGTCGATCTGACAGAGGACGAATCTAACTTCCACATGAAGCAGAGTGTCTTCCTCTACCAACTTGCAGTCCAAACCATGCCAAAAAGTTTTCATTGTCTGTCAATGCGATTAACTGTGGAATATTTCAGATCTCCTCCACCTGATATGGATCATTCAAGGGCTGAGAAATATATGAATCCAGCATTGCACCACTACGTTATGTTCTCCAAAAACGTACTCGCATCATCTCTAGTAATTAACTCAACTGTTATGAATGCAAAAGTATGTTCACTTCATTCTATTGTGCATAAATTCTTGTGAATCTGAAATTTGGTTTCTTTCAGTCAATGACATGGGCTTGGTATACTTGTTCAGGAGAGCGAAAATCAAGTATTTCATGTGTTTACGGATGGAGAGAATTACTTTGCCATGAAGCTATGGTTCTTCAGAAATACTTACAAGGAAGCCACTATTCAAGTATTGAACATTGAAGAGCTTAATCTGAATGACCATGAGAAGGCAACTCCATTACAGCTTTCCTTGGCTGAGGAATTTCGTATTTCCTTTCACAGTGTCGATAAACCATCTACAACTGGTGTTAGAACAGAATACTTATCTGTTTTTTCTCACTCACACTATCTCCTTCCTAAGGTATTCCCGACTTTTAAGAGAGTAGTGGTTTTGGATGATGATATTGTCGTCCAGCGAGATTTGTCAGCCCTATGGAGCCTTGATATGGAGGGTAAAGTGAATGGTGCTGTTCAGTTCTGTGCAGTGCAGTTGGGTCAGCTGAAAAATCTTTTGGGTGGGAATATTTCTGATAGAAACTCTTGTGCTTGGATGTCTGGATTGAATATTATTGATCTAACTAGGTGGAGGGAGCAAAATCTTACAGAAACATTTCAGAGATTGGTACAAGAGGTGAGTGGGGAGTATTTTTCTTTAATTGTGGTTATGCTGGGATTATTTTTTAGTTTTAAAAGTTATTTTACATAAATTTTCTATTTCCTTGTCAGCTCAAATTGGCTCTGTTGAAATTATGAATAGTCACCAATCTGAGTTGGACTAGCGTTTTATAGAGACTTAAAATTTATAAATTCTTACAAGGGGCTAGTTTTTCATAAATGTTCTAAAATATTGTGTTTTTGGAGCAATCCATTAAGTGTTGCTGCATTGTGATATACTAGTCTGTTGTTTCAAGACCCGGCAAACTTTGCAGGTTCTTCCTTGTGTGCATCTTTCTTGCTTGCTTACTTTCTTTTTGGGGAAATTTCATTTTAGGAAAGAACAATTCAAAATAATTGACAAATTTCATAGAGGTACAAGTGAGTCTATGTATGGTGGAAGTGAAAGCATGACACAACTCACTTGCATCCATTTGCACCGAAACTGCAATTATTTGGTGTTGTTCCCATTGAATCACAATTTCATTTCCTTTTTTATTTTTTTTTATTTTTTTATTTTAAACCATTTAAGTTCTCTAGTTGATCTAGTTCCTCTGTTGAGGTAAACTCTTAAGATATGTTTTTGTTTTCCAGTGTAATGATATATATGCTTAAACATTCCAAAAATGAAACTCTCATCTATGCCTCTCTTTTTTCTTTGTTTTTTTGGGGTCAAATTTGTACAGCAGCTGAACAGAGGAGAGGAATTAAATAAAGCAGCTACAATGCGTGCAAGCTTGCTTGCATTTCAAGGCCTAGTTCATGCTCTTGATGATACATGGATGTTGTCAGGACTAGGTCATGACTATGGTCTGGATATTGAAGCCATTAACAAGGCTGCAGTGTTGCATTTTAACGGGAATATGAAACCTTGGATAGAACTTGGCATTCCAAAATATAAACGCTACTGGAAGAAGTTTCTGAATCGAGAAAACCAATTCCTGAGTGATTGCAATGTGAACCCATAAATAGACAACCCTGGTCCAAGAAGCTAGAAGTGTGCGTGATGTCTATTTTCAGGGTCCGAAAGAATTTTCACCTGATCTAGGTTTTTTGGCGGAATCTGTTGCAAGAAAGAAACTGAGATTTACGGTGAATTTGACAGAGGTAATTTCTTTGGTGAATAAATAAGGAAGAAAATTTTGTCTACTACTTTCTGACAAAGCAGAGAAGCGAGAGTTCTAGCGACGGCTACGGTAAGTATGCCTTGAGCACAACTGATGAGGGTTGACAATGCAATTTTTTTGTAGGGATTCAGAGGAAGAGCTCAGTTCTCTACTTTGTTGGAATTAATTTCCTGTACATGAGGGGCTTATTAGCAAGGTCTATTGAAGAATCAAAGACCACAGTGGATAGATGTTTGTTGGGTGAGAGAACAAATTATTTGATTCCCTTCAGAGCTCAGTTCTCTGTTTTTTTGTTTTTGTTTTTGTTTTTTATAATTATTATTTTTTATTTTAATTTTAGTTTGTGTCAATTCAGATTTATTTTCCTTACTGTCTCAAAAATTTGAGTGAGGCTAAGTAGCAATTTGTCATTCACTTCGGGTATTTCCCATGCCCTCTGAACCAGTTAAATGGAGAAATGCTTCTCATTGACAATTTTGTTTCTAAGATCTATATGAATAGTTGCATTATAATCATACAAGATTTTAATGAATGTGACAGATGTGAGATAAAGGGTAGGTCTCACCTGTGAGATCAATGGGATTCACTCTTTTTTTCATATCCTGTCTCATTTTTATTTTTTTTTGGGAGAACAAAGCAGAAATATAGAAGATAATAACAGGTTTACAGAGTTCACAGACTTCTATGAGCTGGTTCAACTACATGCCTCTCAACCTTATCTCATTTTGTGAAATACTTTGTGCACACTGCTATATTAAATGCAAATTGTTGACAAGTACTCTGTTGTGTTGATGTTTGTTTGTCATTGATTTACGAAAAATTATTAGGCAGTTTTGGAGTATATTATTTAAGATGCATGCAGAATTAGTTGTCTATTACAGGTTTTTCCTCATTGACTAGTTGTAACTTCTTTTTTCTACTTAATGGGAAACTATAGAAGAGAAGGTTGAAAGTCCAATGCAATTCCATCTTGAAAGCATGCTAACTACGTAGTTTGCGTAGCAGAAAAATAGATATCATAATTTGGTGTTTCATATTCTTTTTCCTTTTCATGGTAAAAAGCTTAATTCATTCCAAATTACTCCTGTTAGGGAATGAGGTCACCACTTTAAAGTGGAAGCCTATTGTGAACCTCATATTCCCAACTAATCCAACCGTTCAAATAGCATTGATAAAATAATTGAGATTTCTAATAAATTCACCATAAAGTCTTCATAGTTGTTGATAAAGAGAAGTGAGCTACATATCCAAGTAACTACAATATGATTAACCACCATATGATAGGACCTAAACCATTGAAGTAGATTACTTGCAATTAAGAAAAATGATATACAAATTCACTTTCTAAACTCAGTGATATGTAAATGATATGATTGATTGATGATAGAGAAGAAGGAAAAGAGGCCCCTAGCTAAAGGTAGCTTGTCTCACCCAGGAGGTGAGAAGAGTTGAGAACAAAGTGGCGAACGGGTGCGTAATGTGTGGGAATCTGCTGAACAGTTCGGGCCAAATCCTGAAGAAAGCTAAAAAGCGCTGTTTGATGAGCCTGCATAGTATTAGGTAGTTGGTCAGGTAAAGGCTGACCAAGCCAATGATGCTTAGCTGGTCTTTTCGGATGATCAGCCACACTGGGACTAAGACAAGGTCTGGACTCCCACGGGGGCCAGCAGTGGGGAATCTTGGACAATGGGCGAAAGCCCGATCCAGCAATATCACGTGAGTGAGAGAATGTTACCTAAGCTATGTTAATTGATTGACACATCATTAGGCTTTTGAAAATTATATCTAACTTTTGGACTTGTATAACAATGTCCTAGAATTAATGTGTTAGTATATATGATACGCTAAAAAATCACAATAAAATTAAATCACATTAAGGCAAAGAGTTAAAAAATCACTATAAGTTATCACATCATCCTGTTTATTGTTTTTGTTCATCTTTCGTAAAAAGTTAAAAAATTACTAATATAACATATTCTCCAACAAGGCCTAAATCTTGTAGTGTGGTGTGTAGTGTTCAATCCAATGAAATCTTAATTATGACAATGGACTTAACTTCCTACCTTAGTTCACTTTAATTTTTCAACTAGTGAGGTTTTAGTTGGCCATCACCTCAATATCTTAAGTAACTATGTTAGGATTATGATAGCATTATTTTTTAAAAAACTTATGTGTAAGTTCTAATAAATGGATTTATTGTCTAGTAGGTCCTATGATAACAGTTCTGCTGGGTAGCTCGAAATTGGCTGCCCCAAATGGCTCGAAGTGCCAAAACGACATCGTTTTGGCACTTTTTTTAATTTTTTTTTTCCTTTTTCCTTCCCTCTCTCTTTTCTCTTTCAAACTGGTTTGAGAACCAAACCCAGGCGATAGCGACAAAAATAGAGGAGAAGAAGGAACACAGGAAGAGAGGACGCCGAAGATGGCTTCACCGACCGAATAGGAAGCCGTTGAAGTGGATTTGATAGTTTTTAAAGAGAGAAAGCAGCAAATTTGAAGTAAACCCACTTTTTCTCTCTAAAATTCAAGCCACAATTAATCCAGAGAAAAGGATAAAAAGAGAGAGGGAGGGTGGTGTTGGGTTTGTTTGCTCTAAAATCCACCATTAATCCCTACCTTTAAAGCTATCTTCACATTCCATTGTTCTTTCACCAACATAATTTCTTCAACCCAATCCACCAAGAACAAAACCTCTTCTGTCAAGCAAATCTCAAACCCTTTTCTTTCCTCTATTCTTTTCTGAATCCAAACTCAGAATCAAAATCAAAACCACATCCAAAATCAAACCCACAACTACAAATCTCTTTCCTCTTCTTCATTCTTCTTTTGTAAACCCAAAATAAAAACCAAACCCCCACATAAATAGCTATATATACAAATATAGAGAGAGAAGATGAAAGGCAAATTTGCAAAGAGGGATGACAGGGATGCTTTTGGAAAAGGAGAGAGATAGAGAGGAGAGAGAGAAAGAGACAGAGAGAGATGCCAGGCATTCAGGCCATTCGAGCCCCCTTCCTTTCGAGCTATCAGGCATTTCTCAATAATTAATGATATTTTTCATTAAACACTATTAAAAAACGTCGCTAACTATTAATTTTCAACGACAATTTAAAAAAATAGTCACAAAAAAAAAGGTTACTAATTTACAACTTTTGGCGATAGCTTGAAAAATTCATCACAGAAAAATATTATAAATTGTAAGTTTTAACAACAGTTTATGAAAATTGTGACAAAAAAAATCACTAATTGTCAATTTTTAACGACTTGTAAAAAATCATCACAAAAAAAATATTTTTAACTACAATTTTATTAAAATTTATTTTCAATAGGATTTGATGGAATTAGATACAAATATTGAGACTGTTGGTGGTAAAAATAAAATTCTCCCTTTGCGGAATAACAAAATAAAATGTTCTATTGAGTTAGTTCACTAATAACTTTGAAAGATTATTTGAGGGAAAGTGGAGACTTACTCATTTGTCTCATTCTTTGTACACCAGTGTCTAATTCATACTTGAGAACATGACAATATCAATATGTAATGAATATGAAACTAATTATGATGTAGATGATCTATGCTCACTTTCTAATAATTCCTTTTCACATCCAATATTTCTTGTGATATATGAAATTTAACATTTACCCAACATTTGAACACCACCTTACCTTCAAAATTGAAATATTGAGGAGACAAACTATGGAGCCCACGTTGACAACTTTGGAAACATTGTCTCCAAACACCCATGAATCCAAGGAAATGAGCCCAATACAATTGGAATAGAGCATTTGGATTCCAAAGCCCAATTCTTGATGACTATTGACTCGACATGGAAATACAAAAAAAATAAAAAGAGAAAGGCACAAGATCTTATGTTCTTAAATTCTCTTTTTATCTTAATGTACCTATAATCATTGAATCATGTCTCGAGATTTATATATCTCAAAATTCTCATATAATTCAATAATTGAAGGTGCATTGAGACAAGAGACCGAGACTATCATGGTGGCGTTATGTATGAAAAGGCAAAGGCCGCCAGGCAGATGCGGTGAGCAAGCAGAGGTCCTTCCAACCGAGCTTGAGGGCACCGTTGTCCTCCACTAGGGTGTACCCATCAGATGGAAACATCCCAAGGAGGAGGGTGGCTTGGGCCGCAGCATTTCCAGCAAGTGAGATTCCCTTGAAGCCAGACTGCTGAAGCTTCTCCCTCCAGTTGTTGAACTTCACCTCCCCAGTCCTGGATGGTCCCCCAACTGCCAGAACATTCCGGATCTCCCTCGACAGCAGTTGTTGCTCCACCACGTGCCGCTCCTCACTCTCTTCCCCGTAGCTTGCACCTAACGAGTCGAATAAAGCCGAGTAGTAGTGTATGGCCTCCACGAACCTTCCCAAGAATGAACCTGCATGGCTTAAGTCCTGCTCTACCACTGTCACCACCTTTGGTGCCAATCTGAAAATAATAATTTTACACACATTTTCCAGTCCACCACACACAACTAGCCATGTTAGTAACCCATATGACAAAAAATAAATAAATAAATAAAAATGGAAAGGTATAAGAAAGTTTCTCCATTATATAACATCAATATCTTGTTCATGACTAAAATTTGAATAAAAGTTTCATTTGATATGAATTATGTAATACTCAAATTGTCAAACTCAAATTTTTGTTTGGAAAAAGTTGCTCTTAATAGAAAGTTGGGTACAAAATTGGTTACTAGAATGATGCAGTGGTGATATTTTTTGCAATTACAGTCATCTTGGCATGATCTTTGTTTTGAAGTGATATAGGCCTACAATGCCGTTACATCATTCCCTACAAAATCTAAATATGTTTTTATTTTGTTCCTATAGCATCACTTTTTTTGTTCAAATTCTTTTATCTACTCCCAAAAGCATTTGGAAGTAGCAAAAGGGTATATAAATAACAGTGCTTCTACAATTACCAAAATTTTCGTTCACTAAAATCACCTCAGTGAGAAAAAAATTCGGTAAACATTTTCTCAAATCAGTGATTTCGGTGATTGAAAATTTTGGTTTTCCCATACTTTCCAATAAACAAAGTTGTCATGCGCATGCCATTAAATATTTACCCTTGGGATTTTGAGTTTGTAAAATGGTCTCCTTTCATTATGGTAAAAGAATGGGTTACACTTAATTACAAACAACATGAGATTCTCTATTCTTAAGTATTTTTTTTTCCTCTCATTTTCTTCACGTCGTACAACACTTGCAACCGTTGAATTAGCCTTCAAGATTCTCATGCTTTTGAGATTATAACGTGAATAAGCAACTATAACGGTGTGTTTGGTTGAAGGATTTGGAGAGGGATTTGGAAAGGGAAAGGAAAAAGGTGTGTGAAACTATGTGAAATTTAGGCATGTTTTATTCATATTTCACCTACCTTTTTCATTTCCCTTTCTAAATCCCTCCTCAAATCCCTCAACCAAACACAACATAAGTGTTTTAGAACGTAAGAAGAAAAAGACACGAGAGCAAAGTACCACTACCTATTTGGTACAACTTTGAATCAAAAGGTGGAAAGGGTTTTTAAGATTTTTTATTTATTTTTTTATTTTTATTTTTTTTCACTTAAATTTGAATCTAAATCCATATTTGAGTAAACAATCCTTACTCAAATATTGACTGAAATTTAACTGTGAGTTAAAACACTTTTAAAAAATTCCAAATTTAATTTGACTCATTTTATTTTCAAATAGAGAATGCTCAAATAACCGACACGCATATTTACTTCAAATGAAGCTTTATTTATTTACTAATACTGTGTTTGGCAAGGGCTTTTTCAGGTTTTTTTTGGCTATTTTAATCACAAAAAACAAAATAGGCTATTTTAGCCATAACAAACAAAACATCACATCCAACCTATAATCATTACATTCTTCTCTCACAAAAAAAGAAAAAAAGTCAAAAAAACCAAAAAGCCAAAAAGCCCTTCCCAAACCAAGCTTTTTAGCCCAGGCTAAAATAGCCAAAAAAGCCAAAAAGCTAACCCACTTCCCGTTTTCCCACTTCCCAAACGGAGGCTAAATTGTCAAACTTCTAAAAAAAATGATCTGAGTGAAAATTTAGGTGCTGTTTGGTAACACTTACGTTTTCAGTTTTCTGTTTATATTTACAAAAATTTAAAAAACTTAAATAAAAACTTGTTTGGTAAAATTTTTGATATAAATAACAGTGCTTCTACAATTACCAAAATTTTCGTTCACTAAAATCACCTCAGTGAGAAAAAAATTCGGTAAACATTTTCTCAAATCAGTGATTTCGGTGATTGAAAATTTTGGTTTTCCCATACTTTCCAATAAACAAAGTTGTCATGCGCATGCCATTAAATATTTACCCTTGGGATTTTGAGTTTGTAAAATGGTCTCCTTTCATTATGGTAAAAGAATGGGTTACACTTAATTACAAACAACATGAGATTCTCTATTCTTAAGTATTTTTTTTTCCTCTCATTTTCTTCGCGCCGTACAACACTTGCAACCGTTGAATTAGCCTTCAAGATTCTCATGCTTTTGAGATTATAACGTGAATAAGCAACTATAACGGTGTGTTTGGTTGAAGGATTTGGAGAGGGATTTGGAAAGGGAAAGGAAAAAGGTGTGTGAAACTATGTGAAATTTAGGCATGTTTTATTTATATTTCACCTACCTTTTTCATTTCCCTTTCCAAATCCCTCCTCAAATCCCTCAACCAAACACAACATAAGTGTTTTAGAACATAAGAAGAAAAAGACACGAGAGCAAAGTACCACTACCTATTTGGTACAACTTTGAATCAAAAGGTGGAAAGGGTTTTTAAGATTTTTTATTTATTTATTTATTTTTATTTTTTTTCACTTAAATTTGAATCTAAATCCATATTTGAGTAAACAATCCTTACTCAAATATTGACTGAAATTTAACTGTGAGTTAAAACACTTTTAAAAAATTCCAAATTTAATTTGACTCATTTTATTTTCAAATAGAGAATGCTCAAATAACCGACACGCATATTTACTTCAAATGAAGCTATATTTATTTACTAATACTGTGTTTGGCAAGGGCTTTTTTAGGTTTTTTTGGCTATTTTAGTCACAAAAAATAAAATAGGCTATTTTAGTCATAACAAACAAAACATCACATCCAACCTATAATCATTACATTCTTCTCTCACAAAAAAAGTCAAAAAAGCCAAAAAGCCAGGCTAAAATAGCCAAAAAAGTCAAAAAGCCAAAAAGCCAACCCACTTCCCAAACGGAGGCTAAATTGTCAAACTTCTAAAAAAAATGATCTGAGTGAAAATTTAGTGTTTGTCATTGTTGTGTTTTATATTAAATAAAGTTTTTATTTAAATTTTTACTCATTATTTGAGTAAAAATGATGTAACATTTCTTCATATCACAGTGAAACCTGTAGAGATAGGCATCTAAGAAAATGTACATGAAAAAATAGCAGCATTTTTGCCAATCAGATATTCTTCAAAGTTTTAATCAAGTAATACAACAAGCATATCATGTATGTAGCCATATCACCAACCAATGTTACAATGAAATTTATGTTATTTATATATTGTTGGTTAGGATGAACTATAACTAGTAGAAGAAAAGCTTGCAAATTTTACTTCAAAATGATGAGATATAAAAACTTATAAATTTTCAATTATGAGCATATTAATATTGCATGCATGACTGACCTTTGCAAGAGCCACAATGTATGAGCATCTGAGCCGGTAACATCGTAGAGCGAATGCTGCAACCAATGTATCGCCACCGCCTCCCTCTTCCTCACATTCAGCCTCTCCGGATCCAAATTCCCCACCTTCTCCGCCACCGGGACAAATTCAAAAGCCAGCCCCAACCGCTCCGCAAAATCCGACAACCGCTTCCCCGTCGCCTCCAACGCCTCCATGTTCGTCCCCAACCCCGTCAGCCTCACGAAAGGCGAACCGCCAGGCCGCGACGCCAGAATGTGGAAGAGCCCCGGCCACTGCAACCCTTGCATTATGTCCAGATCTATGATGTGCACTCTTTCTTCTCGCTCAAAAGCTTCTTGAATAGCTTGATTTGCTGTGAAATGCGAGAATTTTACGAATGGGCTGATCCCGTTGAACACCTAGTGTTTTGTTGACAATATAACATTAATAACGAATAAAAAGCATAAGCTTTTTAAATGAGTTGATGGTTAACAATTCAATACCTGAAATGCTGCCACCATCTTCTGACTGTGCGGAATGGTGGGCAGCGTCGCGTAGATCCCTAAACATGAATTCACTAGCCTCGCCGACATCGCTTCGGAGAAATACGCCGCTACGCGCTGCGCCGAAGTACCGAACGGTGTCGAGAGCTCGGAGATCTCGAGCAGCATCTTCCTCGCTTCTTCGAAGTTGTCGGCGGCCACTGCCTCGGCGCATTTAAGTAGTAAGGTGAGGAGGTGGAGACCTTCTTCGTCTCTCTTCTGCTGCCTACGCATTTCCTCTTTCTTCTCTCTCGCCACGATCGCAGTTGATGCCGGAGGCGGAGGCGGCGGCGTTGAATGCTCAGCCGTTGGAGAATCCTGATGTGGCTTTTCTTGAGAAGGTTGCTCGACTTGATTTGATATGATCGGTGTGATAGAATTAGGGCTCGCCGGATTGTTACGGAGGAGCTGGGCGTTTCCTTGGCTTACTACGGCGGCGCTGGTGGTGGCGATCGGTGGTGATGGTAGTGGTTGTCCCCAATTCGAGTACTGATTCATCGGATGTGGAGTAGATGAATTTGATAATTGACATGATGAGTTCAGTAGAGGCGGAATTGGCGGCGCTGCCTCTTTCCTCCGCTCCGGATAACTCGGTATCGTCGGCGCCTCCGTGAGAGAGCGGAGACGATACTCGAGGAGGGCGGCGAGGTTAGGGTTACAAGGATGAATGATCTCTCGAACATTTTGAATGAGCTGAGGCAACGAGACATGACTCGAACTGTGAATTAGATCCTTTATGATTCCATCGATCCATGCAGTACTCGCCGCCGCATCATCCATAGAAGAACCACCACTGAACGGTGCAACAGCTGCGGCGGTGGAAGGCGGAGGCGCAACCGTAGAGTTGGTGGTTCGATTTCTCTCCGGCGGAAACAAAGGGAGACCAGAGAAAACACATACAGAAGGGGCTTGAGATTGATGGTCTTGCGGAAGAAGAAGATGGGGATGAGAATGAGATGAGAGGGGGTCCAGAAACCCGGACCCGGATCCGGAAGACGTCACGTTAGGGTTTGTGGAGGAAAGTAGAGTAGTGGAGTGGTTGGGGAGGACGTGGGTGGTGGAATGTGAGTGGTTAGAGTGGTTATTGTTATCACCATTCAAATAAGAACAGCCCATTTCGGTGGCGGCGATGAGAGGATTCACGGCGGTGGAAGTGGTGGCGTTGCGGCGCAGAAACCTATTGTAACCACCGGGATGAAGTTCAATCTCCGAAGCCGCCCTCTTCCTCACCATTTTACCGTCGGATAGAGGAATCGATTGATTTCTATAATTTGATCGGGTCAGTTTCGGACTACCATTAGTACTATTACTCTCAACATCGTCTCTATTATCAACCACCGAACTACAAGCTGTTGCCATGGAGGTTGATTTCGAGCTTGGTCTTCATAGAGTTAGACGAGGATTTTTATTTTCTAACTAGTGCAATTTGGATTGAAGAGACAGAGATGATCCAAGGAGATAATGGTTATAAAGACTGGGACAGGAGCATTGGGATTCTTCGTTTTTGCAACTCTCTCTCTTCTTGCTTTCTCAAGTCTCGACGACAACAACACGACCTCCAAGGCTCTCTCTTTTATGGTTATTTTAATGACTTCGATGGCTTGCCTTTTGGAGGTATCTGTTGTTTCATAACGGAAAATGAGGAGAGAGAAATGAGTGACAGGTGGTGGGGCTGGGTTGTGGCGGTGTGGTGGTGGAGTGTTGGTTTGTGGCGGCGGAGTGGAGACTGGTTGACATTTATATACAATTAGAGCTTCGTGCTCCCACAACTAATGATGTGACTCAGAAGGAAGACGGAAGAGAAATTAGTAGCCAAAAGCTGGTCTGCAAAGCTGTGCGTGGTGAGAGCAGGGTTTGAGGGAAAGGGAAACAGTGGGAAACTATTTGGAAATAGTCTCCTACTACTATTTTTGAGAATATAGAAAATACTCATATTAAGGGTTGTTTGGAATGTTTAAAATAAGTATATTTTTTTGACTTTTTATAAAATATAAGTTGGGTTTAAAGTGATGTAATAAATAAGTGATGTGATTTAAATAAGATGATGTGAGTTAAATATTATAATAACTTTTTTAACTTTTTAACTTTTTTTTTAAAGATGTCGAACTTAGCCTAAAGCCTTGTTTGAGTTAAAGTATATAAGTGTATTTATTTTTTTTATAAGTATATTTATTTAGTTTATATTAATTAATATTTATTTTTTTACATATTTTTTTATAAAAATTAAAAAATATATTTACTTAAAACCTTTTAAATCAATCAATAACAACGTATAGAACAAGACTTCAAATGATTATACCAATCATATAATAAAAAGAAGAAAAAAAAGGAACAATAAAAAGTGGGTGTTTGAGAAGTGAGTTTTTATGTAGGTTTTTTTAATTGTAGGATATTATTAGAGAAATTTTTTTTCGTGTTTGGGAAGATAGTTGAGTTTTTTTATAGTTGGATGTGATATTTGTGAGAGAAAAAGTAAAATAATTATGGGATTTGATGTGATATTTTGTTTGGATTTTTTTTTTTTTTGATTTTACAAAAAAATTTGTCTTTTAATAAAAAAAATCAAAAAAAACCCCAAAAAAATTGTTGCCAAACGCCGCCAAAGATAATAGATTGGTTAAAAAAATCAACTACGACCGATCTTCGACTTCGTTTGGAAAGTGAGTTGACTTTTTAACTTTTTAGATATTTTAACCTGGGTTAAAAAGCTTGGTTTGGGAAGGGTTTTTTGACTTTTTTAACTTTTTTGTGAGAGAATAGTGTAATGATTATAAGTTTGATGTGATATTTTGTTTATTGTGACAAAAATAACCTATTTTATTTTTTGTGACTAAAATAGCCAAAAAAAACCCACAAATCAACTTGCCAAACGGAGGCTAAATGAGTTGGACTTTTTTTTAGTAATATTTTTACTAAAACATTGCCTTTCCAAAATAGGCTTATGCGATATTAATGAAAAATTGCAACTCCTTTGGTCCTAAAATAATAGTTTCTTTTTGGGAAATTTAATTTTTCAATTGTTTACTCTTTTGGTCCTAAAATAATAGTATCTTTTGAAAAATTTAATTTTTTTAGTAGTATAATTATTACACTTTAAAAATATTACTTTTTCAAAATTATCTTTTCATATTACATTTTTTGAAAAATATCAATTGTTATAATTGTATTTTTTGTGTTGTTAATGATTTAAAAGAATGGTAAAATAGAAAATTCATATTATTTTAATCCTTAACTTTTAAAAATGGACTAATATTTTGGAATAATGCAAAATAGAATAAGGACTAATATTTTAAGACGGATAGAGTAATAAAAGTAAAGGCAAGTTTGGCAATAGAATAATTTAGTTAAAAAGTCATGATTAAAAAGTCAACTTTTTTCTTTATTTTTTTACTTTTTTTTTCGTAAAAAATTAACAAATCAACGGAAATGGTTAGTTTTCAAAACAACCAAGCTCAAAATAAATGACCAGAAAAATATGCGAAATCTAACATCTATGGCCAAGTTTCTTTTAATGATTTAAAATTTATGGTACTTTTCTTAAAAATTATCTAAGATCATAAGCTTTTTTGTTTAATAAAGTTGCACTAATCAATTTTACTCATAACATTTTCTACTACTTTATTGGTTTAGATTATCACATCGGCAATTCTCAGAATATCTAATAATTCACTGATAGTGATAAATGATGTAAAATTATTAAATCGTTTTAATATATTACGTGGTATTATCCATTTTGATCAATAAAAAATCACAACTCATATTAAATGAGTTGTTTTTAGTCTTTCAAATACTTAATTAAAGTGAATTAATTTAGACCACCTAAATTTACATATATACTACTTTTAAGAGTCGCCAATAATTAATGGGAAATGATGGACGTTTTTGTTGAGTTGCCCTTTCTCAAGTTGCTTGGTGTTGGGGTGTGGATCGTCTTGGGGTGTTTAACGTGTAGTTATAACGAGTGTTACGATGATCCCTCCCACTCCAACATCCGCATTTTCGAGCGAGCCCGATCTCCTTTTTATTCTTTGTTTTCTTCTGTTTTTTTGGCTTTTTCACATGTTTATTTGTTTTTGGCAACACTTAGGTGATTTTTGTTTAGCTTTGCATGTGAGGTATTAGATTAATAATTCCATAAGTTTTACATAATTTATGGCTGTTTGGCAAAATAGTATAGGTTTAATATCATTTAGGATTCTTTTAGTGATAAGCTAAAATAGTTAAAAAGTTAAAAATCACTTTATACACTTTTTTATACAAACTCAAAATATCAATTAAAATAATTAATTCTCAAAACAATTCTCAAATTTACCGTACTCCTAGTATCATTCAACCTAATAATCCAATGAACAACCATGGCCTAATATTTCTTGCATTTTGCGAGTGGGATTAAAGGTTTAGACTTACTAATCTAATCCCCAAAGCATAGTACAATTTTCAAATTCTTTTGATGCTAATTGTAGTTTGACCATTTATCTTGAAAAATCATTCAGTGTGTTTGGTTTCTGTTTTCTGAATTCAGTTTTTTGAAAAATAAGTTTTTGATTTTTTGTGTTTTTTTGTTTTTAGTGAATATTTTTTAAATTTTAAGTATTTTTTTTTTTACTTTTTTTGATGCATTTTACTTAGATGTATCTAAATAGTAAAATATTTGTAAAAAAATATTTTAAAAATTAATAAATACACAAAAATACTAAAATGTACTAAATTTTTGTATTTTTTTTGTATTCTTTGGTATTTAGTGTATTTTTAAAGATTTTTTTCACAAATATTTTACTTTTCAAGTGTGTTTATGTTAGGTGTGCCTAAAATTTTTTTAAAAAAAATTTCTTAAAATATTAAAAAAATTCATTGAAAATATTAAAATACAAAAAATAAAAAAGTGGAATTTTTTGAAAACTGTTTTCTGAAAACTGGAACCAAACAAGCTGATTATAATTTTCCCTAAAAGGTTGATACAACTCATAATTGAGTTAAGGAATTTACCCCAAAAGTAAATACATAATTGAGATTTAATTGGTGTGTCATAAAATTCATATATAGAAGGAATCATACATTGATATTTTTAAATAAAATTTTAAGTAAAAATTCATAATTAATTATTATAGCAAGTTGTCCTATAATAATGATATTAAATTCCAAAACATGAAAACGTTTTCCTCATATCAAATGCTAGAATTTGTAGAGTTCTTGTAGTTTTCTTCAAAATTACTAGACATAGACACTATATTGTTAAGATAATCAATCATAGGATTTGATATGATTATTCTATTAATACATTTGAAGCCACATGAAGACGAGGAGAAATGAAAGTCTACTACCTCATTCCAAAGAAAATATCAATAAAAATGAATACTAATTCCGACATTAATCTTGATTAGAACGAAAGACCAACATTTGTAATAGATCTCGCATGAGTTTTAATATTATCTAATGCTTATATGAATATGTCATATTATGATAATAAAATGCTGAGTGTAGTTATTATTTATGTACCAAACATGAAACATCATGCATGACATTAGCCTTTTGTTTCAAGTCATGCTTTGTTAGGAAAATTATATAGAGTTACACATAGTGCCCAACTTGATTATTATTAGTTTAAATTATGAGCCTGAAGACAATTGAACATGTGTCAAATAATTAAGGATGAAATCAGCATTTTATCAATAGAAGAACTAAAATTTGAATTGAAAAAAAAAGCACCATATATAGAAGTATACACGTATACAAACATAAAAATTAAAAATAAAAAGATAATGGAAGTATAAGACAAACAACATTCTTCACAGAAATAGGAGGCCCATGACCTCTATTATCTTCTTCTAATTCTGTCTCTACCATGGTGTTGAGCACTACTCTATGACCACAAAATAATCTCTCGTTTTGTAAATAACAAATGAGTTAGTTAAATATTGGGTGATTTCGGAATACTATGTGATATATTATTCACGTTATGTTTTCAATGAAAGTATAGTAAAAGAATTTACGAGTAGAACAATATTGACCCATCTTGTTAGCTAGTTGAGAGATAAAGGAGTGACTCACTTATGTGATGTGATTTTTCATTGGTGGAGGGCACGATAAAGACAATATTGCATTGCATTGTACTTTTGAATAGACTGTGAGCAATATTTTTTAAGCACTTTGTGAATGATAACAAAAAATTTAAAAATTAAAATTCTAAATCAAACCAAATTACATTTTAATGATTTGATTTGATATAATTTTAAGATTTTCATAATTTGATTTTATTCTAAATGATCATTGATTTTCTCCAAATTAAACCATCATCATCACCCCACTTGTTTATATATATATATATATAGTAATACTATAAATTTAGAAAAATACTAAAAAAAACACATATTTATGAATCAAAATTAAATCTATATTATACAACTCATTTTTTAGATAATAATAAGAATATGAAGAACAAACACAAAATGAAAATAGATATCTCACATTGTAAATGGAAAGTTCCACATCATGTAATTGTGCACTCGTCTGGGAAGAGGTTACGTGGTTAAAATAGTTAGAAAAAAATAAAATAAGTTAAAAAATTAATAAAATAAAATATTATATTTAAATTATAATCATTTTATTTTTTCTCTCTGTGTACATTTTGTCCACTACAAAGTACAAACCCTGTTTTGACAAGAGTCTCATGCACTGAGTCACTCTTTTAATGACTAAAACACCCCTCTCTGCTACGACGTGGTACACTGATTGGTACCTAAATCTGCCACAAGAAGGGACTGTGATTCCTAATAATCAAAATATTGAGAAGCAAGTAGATTGTATTTTATTTTGTGATGGGACTCATTAAAGTGGTTGTTGAGTCATCAATTCCTAATATAATCTTTCCCACTTATAGA